TTTTTTCCTACTCATAAGAAGGCTTTGATTACTAGCTTTGCATTTGCACAGTTTTTGCTTTGCCTGTAGGAACCCAAATGCAGTAAAGAAATCAAATATACCAATCTGACAATGTCATTTAGTCCTCTGGCACATCTTGTTTCATTATTATGAGAGGGTTGTTGCAGACTTGTATAAAAATTGAAAGGTGTACATTAGAAAAAGTGTGTGACCATGTGGCTTGATCTTTCTGACTAATTTTAATTGTTTGAACTACTGCACTTATGTTTGCAGTTGTCAGGAACCTATTTGGCCATCAGTTTCTTCTTTATCTTTTTTTTTTTTTTTCTGTGTGAATTTGATGTTTGTGAACTCAAGGGACTAATATATCACGGTTGGCAGCCAGACATAGTACCAGCAGGTGCTCTGAAGCTTTTCACACCCAGCTTTGCCAATGCATATCAGGCCTGAACTGCAGTGGCACCTGCTATTTCACTCATGAGATTTTTCTTGAGCAAGGCCTGCCAGAAAAAGCAGTGTGTATAGTGGTACTGATTTCTAATAATAAGTCAAGCAGGGTCAATCATAAGACTTGCAAACAAAAACTCATTTTAACAAATAGCTGAATGTGTGCCACTAGCTACAGTACCTCTCAGTCACCCTGTTGTCAAACATGCCTTCCAAACCAAATCAAACCAGTGTTTCACTTTCCTTTTTTTCTTACATGAAACTCATGTCAGTCTTGAAGTAAATGGGCATATTTGTCTAGCTTATATTAACATAAAAGTACAAAATCATATAAAGTTATTAACATGGGAGGCACTTTTTTCTTTTTTTTTTTTTTCCTTACAGATGTGTGCAACAGTACTGATCTTCCTGAAGTTGAAATCATCAGTCTGCTGGAAGAACAGCTGCCCCATTACAAGCTAAGAGCAGATACAATCTATGGTTATGACCACGACGACTGGCTTCACACGCCTCTCATTTCTCCTGATGCCAATATTGACTTAACAACGGAACAAATAGAAGAGACATTGAAATACTTCCGTAAGTTAAAACTTGAGAGTTGTGTTGAAGAAAAAATATGGTATACAGACTAAATTAGTGTGCTTTTTCCCCAGTGTCCTCAGTGTGGTACTTCTGCCTAAGGAAGGGGTGGGCAAAATATTGCCTGCAGGCTGCATCCAGCCCACCAAATGATTCTATCTTGCCCATGGCTGCTCTTCTGAAAGAGAATTGTATCCAGCCCACAGCTGCCCTGGCTTTTGATGCCTATTGCCTTTCTCTCTTTCCCTTGCTAAAGCCAGCAGCAGCTCCAGTAGCCAGGCAGCCCCTCCCCTCCCTGGCCCAACACATCCTGCTTCCCCCCCCCCTCAGTGTATGCTCCAAGGCAGGGGACACTGACCTCCTGGCCAGGCTTTTGCCCAGTGAGGCTGTCTGCACGCAGCTCCAACCCTGTTGCTGTTCACAGACCAGACAGCCCAGCCCCGGTGAGAGTCAAAGCTTAGGTAAGGTTCTCCCTGCTTGTGAGGGAGGGAGCGCAGAAGGAAGAGAGCCAGGAGCTGTGGGTTATCCAGGCCCTGCCAGGCCAGGTCAGGGTGCAGGCACCACTAACAGTGCCACACTGTGTTCCCATGTACTGCTTCAGGCTGCGCCATGTGGTCACAGCTGGATTGGCTGATGCAGCTCCTGTCCAACTCCGGCATGTCTCCTGCCCGATGCCAGGTCCTTGCATGCAGCCAGGTCAGGCAGAATTCACGCCAGCTGCTCCAGGTGTGCCCACATTGCCTGAAGCAGCATGTGGGAACCCAGCGTAGCACCGGCCCGATCTGGCTGCAAGCTAGGGGTGCAAGGAGAAGGAAGGTACACAGTGTGGCACCGACACGGCCAAGCCTGGCCTCCTTCTCCCGGTGCGTGCTGAGTCCCTTACACATGATCAGTCCAGGCTGTATTCTCATGTGCCACTTCAGGCCACGTGGGTGCAACTGGAACAGCTGCTGCTGCTCCTGCCTGACCCAACTGCATGCTGGGAATTTGGGACAGGACCTGGGGGAGGGGTGCATGGAGAGCTGCAGGGAGTTCATGTGCCTGTGTGTGTGTGTGCGCGTGCGCGCGTGCGCGCCTGCATGTGGCCCTCCAACAGCTCAACAAAACTTGTTAAGTGACTCTCCAGCCCAAATAATTGCCCTCCCTAATAAGGGGTTGGAACATATGCAAGGTCTATATTTAAAAGGACTTCCAATTGCAACATTGTGTCAAAATCTTCAATTTTATAAAATTCCTAGTTTGTTCCCTGTTCTAGTATTATAGACTCTCTTGATTGTTCGGAAGTACAGTGAGCACAGAACTGGAGCTTCTAACGATTTTGTACTGTAGCTCATACATGCAAAGCTCTACCCTATTGTAATGTTCTTGATTATTACCCTGGATTAAGTTTAATTATGAATGGGAAAGTAAGAGAAGCTTGATTTAAGTGAGAAGGGAAGGAAGAAGGAACAAAGAACCTAAAAGCAGTGTGTTTGGTTTTTTCCTTTGGTGCCCCACCTCTTTAAGTTTCCAGTAGATAAGGAAGTTTCTAAAACATCCACTGTGGTTTTATACATTTTATATAACAATATACTTTGCTTTAGGGCTTTATAATGACCCGAAGCTAGCATAATAATTGAAATGACTTTTTTCCTGGCATAGGCTTAATTTGCAGGTGATAAAATGTTGAGCTAATGGAAGAAACTTAAGAATTGCTGTAATAACGGGTATCATTGTTCTCTGTTTCTCCCTTAAATGGAAGCTTGTATAAAAAGGAAAACCAGGAAAAAGAAAACATATGACTAAAAAGCAACTAACTTTTCAAATGTTTGGATTTCCATTGGTAAAGCTGAAAGCGATCACTTTTTGTTTTTGTTTTCTCTCTGGCGCAGGAAGTTATGATTTCCTGATGCCAAACACGGGTACAAAATGCAGAGGCATAGGCCTAAGTCACCCAGCTACTGCATTTGTGTATGTTATTTGCTATATTGTATTGGTGAATGATGTTATTGTCTCCACCTTACATCAAGAAACTATTGCAAATAGGGTTTTGGGAGTCCCAGGAAAATCTTCCTTCAAGAAAGAAGTTGGAACCTGTACTGACAGTTGCTCAGTTGAGAGGCCATTCAGTGATTTTGGTACTTACATAGATAACATCTCTTCATATGCAAATGTGATTTATCTTTCTTCTTGTAATCCCTATTTATTTTTTTCTGACGTAAGCGAAAATACTTGCTATTTATACAGTCCTGAAAGAATTTATAAATGCCATCACTGTTTTCAGAGGCAAAGATGGAGTGCAGGGGAACCCATAAGGCTAATTGATTTGTCCAAGTTTAAGTGAGTTACTGGAAGAGCTGGAAATGAATTGGATCATTAAACATTTTCTCCTACACCTATCACAATGGATTATTTGATGTGCATTTTGTTTGTGTGAAGAAAAGAGAGTGAAAGAAATGAATATTGGTAAATCCCAGTTCTATCTTTGATATCTGTGGGATCTATGGGATATCTGTGGGATGGTACCAATGGGAGACTTCACTTTTCTAGACATCTGCTGCAACGCACCAAACAAAATCTGAAGCCAGTTCCTAACTTGTGTGGAGGAGAACTTTCTGTTCCAGAAAGTGTAGGATGCAACTAAGGGATCCTCTATCTTGGAACTTTTCCTGACTAGCAGGGAAGAACTGATGTAAAGGTGATGGGTAACTTGAGAGGAAGCAATCACAATATGATGGCATTCTAGATCCTGAGACAGGGAAAGCATGAAGTCAGAAAAATTAGGATGCTAGAGTTCCAAGGGGCAGATTTCATCTGACTCATGGAGCTTCTAAAATGCCTCAAATGCAAAAGGAAAGCCTCCAGGCAGTAGAAGAATGGGCAGATCACCAAGTACATGTACCAGGAAATAGTGCAGGGATGAAATCAGGAAGGTAAAGATGAAGAATGAGCTGAATCTGGCAAAGGAGGTCAAGGACAACAAGAAAAGTTTCTATCAGTCTGTTGGCCAGAAAAAAAGGACCAACGGATCTGTGGGTCTTCTGTTAACAAGCCAGAGAGAGCTCCAAACTGAAGATGCAAAGAAGGCAGAGTTACTCAACAGCTATTTTGCCTTAGTCTTCACAAAAAAATGAAGCTGTAGCCAGACACCTAACAAGGATTGTTTGGGTAAGTAAAAGGACAAGCAGAGGGACAAGATAATGAGAGAGATGGTCAGGGAGTTTTTGTTGGGTCTGAATTAATTTTAGCCAGCAGGTCCGAATGAACTTCATCCCACCACTACCCCCTGCTGAAGTACTTGGCAATGATCTTCACAAAGTCATGGGAGACAGGCCAAGTACCAGAGGCCAATGTAGCACCTCTCTTTAAAAAGGGTAGCAAGGAGGACTCAGGGAGCTACAGACCAGTTAGCCAAACTTCAGTACCTGGGAAGTTACTGGGGCATATCCTAAGAAAGACCATTTGCCTGATCTGTTGCTCTTTCTGCTTCGTGCTGTACCTGCTGCTGTGCTGCCTACGTCTTCCTTGATCTGTTGCGTACCCCACACACAGACTGGCCACGCCCCTTGTTGCACAAATGTTGCAGGTTGGCCATCCCTGCTTTAGACTACACCCAGTGACACTGGCTGTGTCCCCACATGCAAAAGTGTGTGCTTGCAGTATCCCAAAAAGTAGTGGCACAAATTGGTGCTGCTACTTTTTGTTGCTGTGCACGCCCCTGCACATACATTGCAGCGGAGAGCGAAATACTCTGCTTCGGGCAAACTGTCAATTCCCTGCTTCTCCCAACGTGCTGGAGGAGCTAGAATGGACATAGAGGAGGGGAGATGCTCTGGCTGGTAGCCAGAGCGCCTCCCTGGGGGACCCAGCCTCCAGTTGCTCTAGCACATGTTCCTGGAGCGTGCACCATGTCACTTCTTTTTGCCATGTTTTGCTGGGGTTTGGGGGGTTTTTTTGTTTTGATCCTGGGAGTTCCCGGTATCAAATTTGCAGTGTGGCACATGGCTGCACATGCTCTAGTTTGAGGCACTGCAGATTGCACGTGTGCCTTCAATTGGACATGCCCACCAGTCGTCTGGGACTTCTGTAAGGATTTTCCCAGGAACAGCATTTTTCTTAACTGTCACTGGTTACTCAAAAATAATATATGCATAGTGTAAAGATCAGAGAGATAACAGAACAGTTCTACATCCAGGGCAGTGGTATCATTTCTGCATCTCCTGCCTCCCATAGTTGGCACCCGGAGTTAGTGCCCTGGTCACCCCCTCTTAGTTACACTACCTTTATTGTTTATGGCTATTAAATCTTTTTTTTCTAATAAAGCAAGCCTCATAAAGAGAATAAGGGGCTTACAAGATTGCATACTCGCTTGTTGCTATAATGATTTCTTTTTGCATCTTGATTAATACTAAAAATTATGTAATATGTATTCATGTGAACCTGGGTTTTCTGAATGCTCGACCAGTTCTTTCATAAAGGAAAAAATGAATTGAACTGATTTGAAAATATTTAACAACTCTAAGCAGTTGGAAAGGGATAGATGTTTGGCTACCTGTGGTACTCTTCACTAACTTTGAGTTCAGTTGCATTTCTGCTTCCTCCCAGAAAAGAAGCCATAAAACATAAGAGTTGCAGGAAGGGCAATGATATTCTTGCATATCACCACTGGCATGCAGATGCTTCTGGAGAGTCTGTAGTTGCTTTGTACAGTGTGTTTGCAGGCTTTTAGTGTTGGATGGAAGAAACATACTGGTCAGGGTGGATAAAAATAATTAAAAGAAAATTTTAAAATAGGATTTTTATTTAAATCAGATTTTTTTTATTTACAGTAAAAGCTCTGTTATCCAGCATTCCCCAGGAATGGGGGATGCCAGATAACAAAATATGCCAGTTAATTGAGAGGCCCGAACAGGTGTCACCGCCCCTCCTGTGACATGGCTGACCCTCCCGCGGGCCCTGCAGGACCCACAGGACAGGGAAGCGGGCCCTGCACAGCCTGTTATGTCCCTGGGCCATGAGGG